TTCTCTTCTCTTCTCTTCTCTTCTCTTCTCTTCTCTTCTCTTCTCTTCTCTTCTCTTCTCTTCTCTTCTCTTCTCTTCTCTTCTCTTCTCTTCTCTCTCAACAAAGACTTTTGAGAGGAGTTTATGCCACCTAAGGTCCTGCTGCATCCTCTACAAAGTACTAAAATGCAGAAGTGAGTTGTTGGCATTTTGATTTTTGTTGATCGATGTATTTTTAACCAGTGGCTGTTTTTTAACCTCTGTATTCCTGTGTTTCTTCTATTTAGTCTTCGAGCACTTCGACTGACCATGATCCCCTGGGCCCCCTCCCTCCTGGCTGGGGTAAGTACTCAGTTCTGCCTCCGTGCGCTCCGGCTTCTGGGCTGAGAACTTCTCCTGAGCATCTTCCTCCTCACTCCCATCCCTTGGCTCCCCATGCCACCACCTACGGCAGCACCCACTCTGGGGATGCACAGCTGGCAAGGAAAGTGGCGAGCTGGCAGCCTGAGGCAGTCCGTGCCATGTTAGCATTCACAGCGACAGCTAAGGGCACGTGACCCTGAGGAAGAGGTGCCCAAGCTGCTGTGCAACCGTTGGGTTTTGGTCCTCAGTGGCTCCTGTCACTGAGATATGTTGACCCTGTCTGATTTCCAAGTGGACTTGCTTCAGATCTCTGTATCTGTGGTTGGAAGGAGCCATCTTAGCAAACCTTTCTTTGCAGCTGAGATGTTGGAGAACTCCAGCCTAATCTCAACTACTGGTAGCCACATTTTTATTTGCAACACAGCTATGAAAGAGGCTGAAGGGAAGCTGAGCATTGAGCCCCGGGTCATGATTCTAAAGTGTGGCACTGCTACCACAACATCATGCTGGGTCCTCTTTGCTGTTAGCTGCCTCTTCTTCTTCCAAGCCCTCGGTGTGACTTACCCAGAGTGAGTTAAGGTGGGGACACCATGACTTAGGAGAGACTGAGGGCCTTGTAGCTGTTCTAGGAAGGAGTGACCATGCATAACAGGGGTCATTAGTGGTGAGTGTGCCGAATCCTGACCACTAGGTCACCAGGGAGGTCATCGGGGTCATTAGCGATGGTGCGACTTGGTGCGTTCTGCAGCTCTCTGAGCTGGGGAGGGCTTGGGTCAGGCCTGCAAGATCCCCCTAGCACCCGAGAGGGCAGTTTTCACAGGAGTCGGCAGGTGTTTGGTTTCACCTGTTGGTTGGGCCAGCAGAGACATACGTGCTGGCTTGGTGGTGTTCTCAGATGGCCTTAACCCCAGGTGAGGTGCGCTTCCCCACAGAGGTGGCGAGGCACTGCTGGGAAGCTGGCAGTGGCAGAATGGGCAGCACCTGGAGGAGCCTGGCTCTGGGGCTGGGTCCCCTTGAGACAGACCCAGGCGCTCCCTGGGAGTAATGGAAGAGGTTGTAGCTCTCCCTAGCGCACAGGATGTCACTTAGTCCATTAGCACTGCACTGCAGGGTGCCGGGGGACCTGTCCTTCCAGTGGGAGATTCCAGGTAGCAAGGCTTCCACGAATGTGTTGATTTTCACTTCAGCTAGGCAATCCTGGTGCACCTAGGTGACCTGCCTGGCTCCCTGGACCGAAGTAAAGCCATTGGTATCTCAGGGGTTGGCAGCAGGTCAAGCTTGAGAGGGTAAAACCCTTAGGATCCTTACACAGACAGGGAAGGTGCATCAGTGACCCGAAGCCCAGGACCTGAAGTTTGTTTCTGGCTCAGTAGAGGCAGGCAGTGTAGCCCAGTCAGGTGAGTTTATTTCTGAAGCAGTTTTGGTAAATAATGGTCACCCATAAGCAGCTATAGAGACCTGAAAACTGCTCCTGCGTAAGTACTCAGTGGGCAAATACTTCAGACAGGAACAGAGGAGACCCCGTCAGAGTCAGCACTGTGGAACAGTCACAGAACTAGTCCAGAAGTGAGAAAAAGAACATTCTGGCCATAGGCCAGGGGGCCTCCCCACTGCAGTCCTCTGGGCTCGGCCTTGGCATCCCTGGCATGGGTCGCCACCTCCCCAGGGATGGTGAGAATGGACAGAAAGAGCCCCCAAACAAACAGCAATGGCATTGATGGCCAGCCTGCCAGTGCTGCTCCTGCCCTCTGTTCCCAGGCCCTTCCTGCCACCCCGCAGGAGACCCCACAGCTATCCCCACACATAGGCGCTCCTGGCAGGCCTCCCTAGGCATGTGACGAGTGCTCTCCAGTCCTCTTGCTCCCGGAACGCCATGCACAGTGCTCCCTGGAGGACTCACCCCCCGCCCCCGTCGTATCCTTCGGGCCCTCAGCGGGGCCCTGAGAAGCTTGTGCTGCACCAGTGCCAGGGCTGACGGCCCTGGCCTTACCCGCTGGGCAGGTCCCCCAGCCCAGTGGTTGGCCGTGGCTCTGGCCCTTGCAGAGCAGCCCGGGAGGATCCACTTCCCAGCAGCAGCTCCTGGCCTGGGAGTGGCTGTCTCGAAGGAGCCTCTGGGGACGCCTGCCTCCTGCTACTGGTCGCACATCTGGCCTCGGGTGGTAGCTCCATAACAGTTTGGGCTGCCTCCCGTTCTTTCTCTCCTTTTGTCTATATATTTATTTTATTTTATTATTTTCCCAGTGTTTCGAAGTATGATTGACTGATAGCATCTGTATTTGTAAAATCCCGGTCGTGTAGCCGATAGCAGGTCAGTCAGTCAGAGGCAGGAATTTGTGCTGGTGATGAGGACTGGCCTCCCTAGTTCTGTCCCCTTTTCAGTTTTGGGTGCCCTGTCGCTTCTGTAACTGGTGGCCGTCATTTCTTTAACCACACTCTGTTGTAGAAGAGTCGTGGAGCCATTAGTGTTGCTTGTTTCCAGGACAGAAGCAGCTTGGCAGGCTCAGGAACTGCCTGGGGAAGGTGGCCTCCTTGGCCTTGGGAGCCCTGCTCCTGATTCCCCCACCCCCTGGAGCTGAGGGGTTGCTCTCTGTGCCTCCCTCTGGGGGTGAGGGGGTGGCAGGGTGACTGCTGTGCACAGCTGGATGCAGTTACACTCTGGTCGGCCTGACTGTCCTCTCCGTGCTGCCGCGCTGCCCCTTCCCTCCGACAAGCCAGACAGCCACAGAAGCTGGGACAGTGTGCGTCCCTCCCTTGCCTCCCTTGCCTTTTTCCTAGGGACAAACATGGGTGTGCCAGGCTCTGGCCAGCTAAACTTCTCTACTAGATTGGTCACAGGGCTTGAGATTTGGCCCCAATGCCTAGGAGGTGGGAGCTGAGAGAAAGGACCTGGCTCAAGATCTTTGAGTCTGATCACTTTCTCTCCTTTTCCCCGAGGCAGAGAAGAGACAGGACAACGGAAGAGTGTATTACGTGAACCATAACACACGCACTACCCAGTGGGAGGACCCTCGGACGCAGGGGTGAGAACTCGGGATTGGGGGGCTTCTGCAGTTCCAGCATTGGCCATGGCACCACACAAAGTCCCCGAAAGTCCCATGAGCCACACACAAAGTCCCCGAAAGTCCCAGGATATGGCATCGGCCTGAAGGGCGAGGGTGCTTATTGTCTCAGGGTCACTAGTGTCCACTGGGGCCAGTGCCATCCACTCAGTCCTGGCCTTTTGGCCGGGGGACTTCCTTTTGGTCATGACTTGGGTCCTCGCCGTTTGAGTCAGTCCAGGTGCATACCCTCAAGACACCCCTCGAGGGCTCAGCAGAGGCAGAGCAGCGGAGGCCCACAAGGTGGGGCCAGCCCTGAACCCGTCTTTCTTGTGTTTCCAGGATGATGCAGGAACCAGCTCTGCCCCCAGGATGGGAGATGAAATATACCAGCGAGGGGGTGCGGTACTTTGTGGACCACAATACCCGCACCACCACTTTTAAGGACCCTCGCCCAGGCTTTGAATCCGGGTGAGGACTCCCACCGGCCACAGCAGTGTCCTCAGCTCTGGCCCAGCTTGTTCTGGGCAGCTGCTCCGTGCTGCTCACTGCCCTCTAGTGGCTGCTTTTGATGCTGCCTTGAAGTGAGGGCGAGTAAGAGGCGAGCCTGCTCATGGGGAACAGCGGTAGAAGTATTTCTCTAAGAGCAAGAAGTCGGGCATTGTTTCAAGTTTTTCTTTCGACTTTTCAAAGCTCTTAGGCAGTCTCTTCCCTTCTTTTATGCCTTGTTTTATTCAACTTTAAATGCAAAAAGCATTAGCTTTCTCTAGGTCTAAATAACAAAGATAAGTGGTTCATTTTTTGAAAAACCACATGGATTTCAGAACATCTCTGCTCTTCCCAGGGCGAAGCAAGGATCCCCCGGTGCCTATGACCGGAGTTTTCGGTGGAAGTATCACCAGTTCCGGTTCCTCTGCCATGTGAGTTCTGGTTCGGGGCTGCCGTGGAGCTGGGGATGTTGAGTTATTTCCACCTGACTTCTTGACGCTGCACAGGCATTGGGATATCTGTGTCATAGATGGGGGAGAGATGCCTGTCCCAGCCCTCAGCTGGTTGTCCTGGGGCAGGACAGGGATGCCTGTTTGTCCAGACGGGAGACCACAGTGAGCAGATGCCCTATGTGGCCCTGACTTGAAGTTCCTTTCTTTTCTTCTCAGTCCAATGCCCTCCCCAGCCACGTGAAGATCAGCGTTTCCAGGCAGACACTCTTTGAGGATTCTTTCCAACAGGTTAGAGAATAATCGTGGTGCCGAGACCAGGGGCAGGCAGGGCCCCTCCTTCCACCACTCTGCCGCAGTCACATGTTTGGTCGAACACACTCTGCGGAGTTTCCAAGACGGGGTCCTTGGTGACCACATCTGCTGGATAGCCCGCCTTGGAGTCTCCTGCCCTCCACCCTACCTGCTGTACTGGGGAAGGGCAGGCTGGCCAGATGCTCTGTCTCCCCAGATCATGAACATGAAGCCCTACGACCTGCGCCGCCGGCTCTACATCATCATGCGGGGTGAGGAGGGCCTGGACTACGGAGGCATCGCCAGGTGAGCTCAGTCTGCCCGAAGGCTGTGCTGTCCTCTGCTGTACCCCATGGCCAGAAAGCCGCCTCCTCCCTGCTCGCACTCACAGCCAGAGATCTCCTGCGTCTTCAGCAGGGGCACAGAGTGGGTGTCTAAGACATCTACCTCTCTGGCCTGTCCCAGAGGACACTGGAGCAGGGACAGGCATCAGCCCCTCGGGTGCCTGGCTGTGGGGAGGCTGGGGGCTCGCAGGAGAGGATGGGGCCGGGACGTGGTGCTTTACCAAGCCACACATTATTATTTACTACTTTCACAACCAGGCCAGCTGCATCGGTGGGCAGTGGCCACATAGGTGTCTCTTAGAGTTGACCCGAGGTTTCCCTTTGTCCAGATACAGCTGGGGCAGGCGAAGGCGGGTGTCTCAGAGCAGGCATAAGCTATGTCATGGTTAGGGGCCTTGCCCTATACTTAGCTGCATGTCCTGTGCATGGGCCAGTACAACTAAAATGGCTGAAGCGGCCCTAGCAAGAGCCCAGAGCACTGTCCCGCCCTCGGCCCAGTCACCTACAAAAGGTAGCAGGTGTCTGGACGACAGGGCGGAAGGCCTTGCAGAGAGAGCACCTTGGCCGGGGCCCTGCTCAGCCCGCTGCCTCTTGTGGTGTGGGGATGTCTTCTCACCTGGTGTTGGGCTAACGCGCTTCTGGTCTTCTGTTTGCTGGGGGTGTTGCCTTCTGTGTTGGCCTCCTGTGGACGGATTGTTCTTTTTCCGTGGTGACCTCCTCTCCAGGCTGTGCTTGGTGGGCTTCTGGTGTGGCTCCGCCCTGTGTGTCTCTCTCTGTGTCCTGCCAGTGGTTTTACCCTATGGTAGGTTACGTCATGCTGTTCTACCACAGGGTAGAACCACGGACAGGATACCGGGGCACCCTCTGCGTCGAAGGACTCCTCGTCTGCTCAGCCACAAACAGCCCGGCAGCCAGGGACTGGCCCCCTCGGGATGTCCCCCTGCCGCTTTAGCTCCAGCCTGAAAGGACTCTGAGTTCTGGCCTGAGGCTTGTGCCTTGCATGCAAATAGACGCCATGGCGTGGGTGTCTTTTCAGATGAACATGTGGGAGAAGGATGTGGTCATGGGTCTGGGGTGAGGGGAGGGCAGAGTGCAGGGGAAGTGAGGTGCTCACGCTGTGGTTGGTGGGAGTGAAGTTCATAATCTGGGGGGCTGGGGATTTAGCTCAGTGGTTCCGGCGCCTGCCTCGCAAGCGCAAGGTCCCGAGTTTGATCCCTGGTACCAAAAAAAAACCCACACATAATCTGGAGGCGGCATGGATCATGGAGTTTTCGTGGTTCAGGAGTTGGGAACATGTTACCATAGATTCACATTATGCTGCTCACTCAGGATGGAAGCAGTGTGGTCAGTATCATACAGCACCATGGCAGAAAATTGTTATAAATGTGCATGTCTATGATATTTGAACATAGTGGCCTTGTGCAGTGCACAGCCTACCCAGCTGTGCATGGTGGCCCAGAGCCCCATTAGAATCTTTGGATATTGTGATGCAGAGTCCTAAGATGCACCATGTGGAGCTGATGGGCACACGCACAGGTTTTCCTCAGCACCATCCCCAAGTGTCATTGTGCTGGTTTGCCCTGGGTCTGAGCCAGGCCGGCTTCCTGACCAGCTGGAGATACAGGTCAGCCCGGGCAGTGATCACCAGGGCTTAACTCCCAGGCATGTGACTCCAGACTTCTCAAGACACTCCGTAGAGCCCTGACTGCTGAGAGGGGGAGCGGAGGGATCCATCGTCCTGTTTCTTCTCTCCCCTCCCTCCTAGAGAGTGGTTCTTCCTTCTGTCCCACGAGGTGCTCAACCCCATGTACTGCTTGTTTGAGTACGCCGGGAAGAACAACTACTGCCTGCAGATCAACCCTGCCTCCTCCATCAACCCCGACCACCTCACCTACTTCCGCTTCATTGGCAGGTTCATTGCCATGGTAAGGGTGCTAGGGTCCCCAGTGCCGGGAATGCCTGTCTCCTTCTTACACCCTTCTTCCTCCTGGTGAAGAGCGAGGGGCTTTGCTGAGAGCCCCAGGAAGGGCAGCACCCCCTCTCTGGGCCTCCTCCTTCTCAGAACTTCTGACAAGAATGTGGGAAGCCAGAGCCTGCCCAGTGGCCTCCTTTTCTCATGTTGATTTGGGTCGGGTTCGTCAGGCGGAAGCCCGGGCTCCTGGCCACAGACTCAACTTAGTGTCAAGTGCGCACCCTTGGGTGGCACTGGGACGGCAGCTCATGAAGCCGAAGCTGCCCACCTGCTGCCTGTCTCTGGAAGATGCCGCTGCCTGTCACGAGCCACGGGTGGCCGTGTTCGGGGATCCCCAGCTGGGACCCTGAGGCCTCCAGGAAGGGACTGGAATCCACGTGGGCTTAGAACAGGACTCCAGCACACCGGCTGGCACAGGCTGGGGGGCATCCGTCCCGAGGAGGGGCCCTGTGTGTCTGTGGCGGGGGCCACGCCACATCCCGGTGGAGGCTGCTATGAGTGGGGACCCAGCACCAAGCACGGGAGCTGGCTGGAGACTGCAGTGCTGACTGCGTCCTCCCCTGACGTCCACAAGTCCTGCCCCGCCCCTCAGGAGAACCCGCGGGCCCTAAGGGTCTGTGACTAAATATGGTCTTTGATTCATCTAGAAGTTCTTGGCCAAGGTAGCGGCTCCAGAAGTGGGCACATTCTTCCCAGGTCTAGAGACCCGCCTGGCCCAGCAGCCGACAGGACAGACCCGTGAAACCCTAGACTCTTACTCACTGCTGGCTGGCAGCTCGCGCCCTGCACGGTGTCTGCATTATTCTTGGCTGTCTCTGCCACCGGCTCGGAGTGCCCGTGAGTCAGGGCTGCCACCTGGAGCTGTTCTGAGCAAGTCTCCCCTGTTCGCGTGGCGCAGGCCTCTGCTCCACTGGGAGCAGCCTGGCCGGGAGCCTCCCTGTGGCTGCTGGGCCGGATGAGATCCCCCTCCAAGTCCATGTCAGGATGAAGGGCTCATTTCCCAGACTGCCTAGGGCACTTGAGGCAGCTGCTGCTCAAGTTGGGTCAGGGAGGGAAGATCAGTGGCCTTTCATACAAGCTTCCCGGGGCCTGCCTCAGACACTGCCCCGAAGCTCTAGCCATGCCTCGTCCTCCCTCAGGCTCTGTACCATGGGAAGTTCATCGACACCGGCTTCACCCTCCCCTTTTACAAGCGGATGCTCAACAAGAGACCCACACTGAAAGACCTGGAATCCATCGACCCTGAGTTCTACAACTCCATCCTCTGGATCAAGTGAGTCCCTTGCTCGCCATGCACGCAGGGGCTCTGAGGGGGCAGTGGGCACCGTGGCCTTGTGTGACTCTGTTCACCCACCTTGCTAAGTGCCTGGTGACAGGCAGTTCTCCCCTTTCATCAGGAGCTATCCCTTGCCACTGTTCAGGAATCTAGGCCACCCACGAGTCCTTGGTGCCCTGTGGGTGCTAAAAGCAAGGAGTGGGGCAGGACCAAGGGAGACCCTGCCAAGGAGGACATCTTGCCCCCCGGCCCCCCAGGGAAAACAACCTAGAGGAGTGTGGCCTGGAGCTGTTCTTCATCCAGGACATGGAGATCCTGGGCAAGGTGACAACCCACGAGCTGAAGGAGGGCGGCGAGAGTATCCGTGTCACCGAGGAGAACAAGGAAGAGTATATCATGTAAGCCAGGGGAGGGTGGGTTGCAGAGAAGGGTTTTCCCGCTCTGGTCTGGGTCCCCTCCCTGGCCAGGCCTCCACACAGGGCCCATAGGTCTCCACGGACTTCAGGGACCTCTCAGCTGTACCTGCCTTGGTGGGGAGCCTGGGTCTGGTCATGTGATGACACGTGTTAGGGGAGTCGGGGCCCCAGTAGCTCCTGGTTGCTTTTTTCCACGTGGGAGACTTCCCAATTGCTGGAAATTTCTTTTGAAGAGGTGTAGCTTAGGTGTCACCACCTCTCTCCTGACCGAGGATTTCTGTGTCCCGCATGCTTAACATCCACCACCCCGAGTGTGCTGGTATGCAGACCTCCCCCCGCACGGTCTCCTGGCCTTGGTGCAATCTTTAATCTCCATGCTTCTGCACATCTGCAGTTCAGTGAGCAGCAGGGGCAGAGGGCAGGAGGGATTTCAAAGATTCGGGGGAATCGTGGGGTTACTGTGAGGTTTTCTGGGGCCTTCTGCACACTGGTGTAGGTGTGCCAGAGGTGCTGACAATGCCTCCTGGGTGGGCAGGCTGGTTGTGCACCTGGCAGGGTGTGTTGGGCTGCAGCAGTGGCTGGTCTTTGGTCTTAGGCTGCTGACCGACTGGCGTTTCACCCGTGGTGTGGAAGAGCAGACCAAAGCCTTCCTGGATGGCTTCAATGAGGTGGCCCCGCTGGAGTGGCTGCGCTACTTTGACGAGAAAGAGCTGGAGGTGAGTGTGGATGTCGGGACCCTGAGCTGCTTCCGGTGCCTCCAGCTCTGTGATGTGCTCCCTGAGAAACCCACTGACCTGACCCTGGACTTGAGCAGCATGGGGGTGGAGGGCAGACGGTGTCTGTTGGGGTCTTCAGCCTTCACTTGGCCTGGACACATGTGTTGAGAGGGCAGGGACTTGTGTCACCCATATTATTCAAACTTCTGGCAAAAATAGCCAGTTTAAGAGATGTGGAGTATTTTACCTGCCAGCTGGTGGGTAAAGCATCCCAGCGAGGAGCTGGTACCGGGTAGCTGACGCCCTCCTTCCTGCCCCCTCCTCCCTGCAGCTCATGCTGTGCGGCATGCAGGAGATCGACATGAGTGACTGGCAGAAGAACACTATCTACCGGCACTACACCAAGAACAGCAAGCAGATCCAGTGGTTCTGGCAGGTGGGTGCTGGGTGCTGTCTGTCGGGCTGGGGCCAAGTGTCTTGGCAGGGACATTTTCATAGCCGCTCTGAGAAAATGGGACCTGATTAGACCTCAGCTCAAGGATCCTTCGTCTTTGACACTCCTTGCCTCCCCCATCTTGCAGAAGGAGACGATGGACGCTGGCCTGTGCGGGCGGTTGTCAGTGGTCAGCCTGGGGCCAGCTGGCAGGGGCCCAAGGCTCTGTAGGCAGGAAGCGCAGCTGCTGTTGGTCCTCTGGTTTCCCTCCTCCAGATGGGATGGGAAGGCGGGCCCTTGGCTCCAGAAAAACAGAGTGAGCTTGTCACTCAGGATTCAGCGACCCAATTCCTTTATGTATGTGTGGGTTCCACTGTGATTATGAAGTATAGCACACACATATATATAAAAGAATAACTGTAACAGCTATCTTTAGTGTATGTGTGTGTGTGTATATGTATATAAATTTTTTTGTGGTGGTGAAATTCACATAAAATGCAATTCACCATCATAAATATTTTAAGATACACAATTCGGCGGCTTCTAGTACCTTCACAGTGTTGTGCAACTATCACCACAAATCTCAGAACACTTCATCTCTCCCAAAAGAAACCTCCCAGAGACTGAAAGATGGTCCACGATGGGTGGGAGTGTTCTACAGACACAGCACCCTAGAGAAAGCACCGCTGAGCTCTCCTGGGCCATGGTTGTCAGCCTGCCCAGCATGGTATTGTGTCCTCTGCCCGGAGCAGCCCAGCTGGCCTGCAGATTCCGTGTTAAGGAGAAGCGCCGGGGCTGGGTGGGTCTCGGGACCGTGCCTTGCTTGTGGCCTTGCAGGTCGTGAAGGAGATGGACAATGAGAAAAGGATCCGGCTGCTGCAGTTCGTTACCGGAACCTGCCGCCTGCCTGTTGGGGGCTTTGCTGAGCTCATTGGTATGTTTTTCTGTGTCCTGCTGGTGCCCTGGCTGAGGGTGCAGGCCCTGAGGTGGGAAGGCTGGTTCTGCTCACAAATGGTGACTTTTTCTCGGATAACAGGGAGCAACGGACCGCAGAAGTTCTGCATTGACAAGGTTGGCAAGGAAACCTGGCTGCCCAGAAGCCACACCTGGTGAGCAGGCTGGTTTGGTGGGAGGTGGGAGAGCCTCATGGACCAGATGAACTCCTCACAGCCCAGCGGACATGGCAGCGTCAGGGCCTCCACTCCGACGACATTTGCGTGGCTTTGGGCTGTTGGGTTGGAGAGGTGGATGTGCGTCGGCCTCTGCCTCAGGCCTCTGACGTCTGTTCTCTTCCCGTGGGCGAGAGTGGCTGACCCAGGTGCCCCCCTGTGTTCCCACCTCACTCTTCCCGCTAACTCTCCGGGGCTCTAGGAGCCTATGGCACTGAGCCCGACATGGTGGAGCCCAGACATTGAGCTCCCTGGGCACAGCAGGGCTGTGGGAGCCCTGGCCCCTCATGACCGCTGTCCTGTCCTTGCCTCTCCACAGCTTCAACCGTCTGGATCTCCCACCCTACAAGAGCTATGAACAGCTGAAGGAAAAGCTGCTGTATGCTATCGAGGAGACTGAGGGCTTTGGACAGGAGTAGCAGAGGCTGCCCACCCAAGCCCCCAGCGCGCACGTAGTCCCAAGTCCTCCCTGCCTGAAAGCCCACTGGCCACACGCCCCTCAGGAGGTCCCTGTGGATGGTGGCCCTGCATGGGACCACACCGCCGTCTCCCAATGGCAGAAGAATTTCCCTCCTACCCACAGGTGGCAGTCTGGAATAAAGCCCTGAGTCACCTTGGCCCCATCACCCGGGTGAAGTCTTCAGGGTGACCCTCTCTGCAAAACTCTCCCACTCCCCTTGGACCAGCCTGGGTGTGCGTGAGTGTGCGAGGGAAAGTGCCTGGTCCCAAAGGGTGCGGCAGAAGCCTGGGCCTCACCTCCTACTTAGAGGAGGAAATTGGCCACTTCAGGTACAGTGAGAAAGCCAGGTCTTTGCCAGCAGAAGAGGCTCTGTCTTAACTAGAACTTTCCAAGATCTGTATGAAACATGGGTCTGAGGAAAGACCGTCTTTGCTTCCCTCCCCGGCTGTCTCCAGCCACAGAGGCTGAGCAGCAGGGACTGGGGGCCCCCAGCTCGTCCTTTCTCAGCAGACAAAAGGGTTGGACAAGCCGCCTGCCTGGGGATCAGTGGGAGGGGGGGCAGCAAACTCCCCCAGAAGTTGTCCTTTTACATAAACTTGAAGCGTTTGTGTGTAGGGTTGCTTTTTGTTTTGCTCTTGGTATGCTGCTGCCACTTTCTGTGGAGGACGTGGAACCCTAGGTGTCCCAGGGCCTTGGGGGACCCAGCCTTGTTGGTCTAAGAGTTTCCTAAACAGCTGCTCCTCTCAGGAACCAGCTCAGCAGTCTGCGAGCTCAGGCAGGCCTGACCCAGCCACTCAGTTACCCAGTGGCCAAGTCCCCTAGCTTGCCACAGAGAAAGGGCGGGGTGTCCCGAGCGCCACTCCCAGCCTGCGCCTTCCATATGGAAGAGTTCCCTTTGCTAGATAGTCCCTTGCTGGGCCCCAGGGAGGTGCAGAGGAGCCCGACTGCTCCCCCCTGGCAGCCCCTAGTGGCCCAGATGGCCCTTAGTCTCCTCCATACAAAGGCTTGAATCCTGGCAATTGGAGCGTGCTCACTCTGCTTTATCTGCACCCAGGACATGGCACCACTGAGAACCAGCAGAGGGCGCTGAGCTCCTGCCACAGCCTGGCTTGGTTTGCCGAGCTCCCGGCAGCCTCTGCCTTGGGGATTCTGCCTTTGACTGAAGTCTTCCGGTTGTGCAGGCTCCTCTGGACTTTGGAGTAACGATGGTGGCACACTCCCTAGTCCAGGCCCCCAGCTGCAGACCAGCTTCCGGGGACCCCAGGGTGGCTTTCATGTCCATCCAGGAGCCTTCAAGGACAGTCTCGCCCTCCTGCATCTCGTCCTTCCCGGGTCCATGGAGGGACAGCCATGTCCCCCCACATTTGAGTGGCTCAGCTCACTGCAGCTTGGCCTCTCTCCTCTCAGTCACTTCTGGTATTGCCCCTCGAAGACTACTCCAGCAGGTGGGCAGAGCTGCGAGTCGCCAGGGTGGCGCAGGAGCAGCAGGCTCATGGGTGTTCATGTGTGTTTGTGTGTGCACGTGCATACGTGTGTATAGCCGAAGTGTCTGTGTGGAATGCCCTGCAGTAGCACTGGGTTGGTCACCGGATTGTTTTGTAATGCCTGCCCCTGCGTCGGTATTGCCAGTTTCTTGTGCAATAAACAGTCGCAGCCGTGGCTGTCTCTGTGGCTGTCTGCAGTGTCACTGTCCTCCAGGCAACAGGCCTCCGTTTGCCAGGCTCAACAGAGTGGAAATTCCCCACCCTGCTGGCCGGGAGAAGCCCTGTGCTGTTAACTGAGGCAGCTCCACTTTGGGGACGGCTGGCTGAGTCCTTGTCCAGGGACCATGGCCTCGGCCCTGGGCTGCTGCCTCCCTGTACACTTCTGGGGGACTCAGCCCCTTCAGGCAGTTGCTGAGGGAGCAGAGGGGAAAAGCTGCAGGCTGTGTGGGCTTCAGGGAAGATGCCCTGGGGGGCCTTCATTCAGGCAGTACTGCGGTTGTGTGAGCCCCGAGAGGACCAAGGGTCTCCCGGATGTCCAGCTGATAGTCACACGTGGTTTGCCATCCACTTCTTTTTTTTTTTTTTTGACAGTTAAGGGTTCAGAGATGGGACAGATCACCAGGTGGAGGGTCTTGACACATTTGACATTAAAATGACCATCGCGGGCTAAACCAGAGGAGATGCCTTCTTTTGAGGAGGCAGATGCCCAGAGCGGGCTCCCTCCCTGGGTTCCTCAGCTGAATTCACTCCCCCAGCTCCAAAGCCTTCGTCTCTTCTCTTTTTGGTGCTGGGCATCAAACTCAGGCCCTTGTGTAAACTGAGCACACTGTCACTGAGCCACATGCCCAGTCCTTCCAAAGCCCCCTTTTTATTTTCATTTCAGCCCAGGGATTGAAGCCAGGTCTTACACGTGGTAAACAAGTGCTCTGCCACTGAACCACATCCTCAGCCCAAAGCCCTTCTTCCACTTGACAGAGCAATGCTACACTTTCACAAAACTATCGAACAGTGTCCATGTGCTATACAGATGTCCCACAGCAAGTGAAATAAGACATGCTGCAGTGGAAATTGTTTTCCCACCCTTGTCCCCAGAGGAAACCACTGTGCACAGCTAGCTGTGGTCCTACCAGACTGTTTTATGATCATGTGCAAATCATGCACACAAAAGTTTTAAATATGGCTACCACAGGTGCAGAGCAGCTCACTTTTTCCGTGAGATAATAGGGACGCCTTTCCACTTGGTCACTGTAGATCCACCTATTGCTTAACTGCCTCGTGGTGTCCAGTCACAGTCATTCGACAGCACGCCTGTCAGCCCCCTAAGGTGTGCTGAGCCTCCAGAGCTCCAGGGGTTCTCAGGCAAGTTTTTGTGCTGATGTTCCTCTTCTGGTAGGGAATAGTCCTGGAAGTTGGACTGTTGGTTATTCACCTTTATTTTAAAATGTTTAATCCTCGGTCACTCACCCACTTTTGGAGACATCCATTGTTGCTGGCTTTGTGTGGATCCCTCCAGATAGATCCTTTTATTTTTTTTTGAGACAGGGTCTCACTATGTAGCCCAGGCTGGCCTTGAACTTGCAGTGACCCTCCTGCCCAAGTGCTGGGATTAAAGCCTTGCCAACCATGTCAGGCTCTCTGTAGATGGGGTTTAAAAATTCCAGTAGATTCCTCCAAATTGTCCTTCAAAACATTCTTGCTTTTCCAGCCTCACCATGGCCAGGATCTCTTGTCACCTGCTTGATAAAACAGACCAGTGAGCTCCCCGTGGCTTGTTTCCTTTTCTCATTTCTAACTCGGGACATCTGCCCTTTCACTTACACCATCAGAGGTTGTTTGGTTTTTGTAATATTTACATTCTGTTGCATGTAATGAAATCTTCTGTACTTTGTCTAAGGATTTAGTCTAAAAGCTGAAAAGCAACGTAACATTCCTATTACAATTAGAGTGTACTAAATAGTGTAATGCAATGATTTTTGTTTTGTTTTGGTTTGGTTTTTTGAGGGAGGGTCTCCCTTTGTAGTTCAGGCTGGCCCTGAATTCACTGTGTAGCCCAGGCTGGCCTTGAACTCGTGGTGATCCTCCTGCATCAGCCTCCCGAGTGCTGGGATTACGGGTGTGCCCCACCACGCCTGGTGATTCAATGATTTCTTACACAGCTCTTTCTAGGTTCTGGATTATTTCTCTTTGCTTTTTTTTTTTTCGGTACTGGGGACCGAACTCAGGACCTTGCGCTTGTGAGGCAGGTGGTGGAACCACTGAGCTACACCCCCGGCCCTCTTTGGTTTTATTATGGCCTCAGTATTTTTTCTTAACATGTTTCAAATACATCTAGAATGTGACAGGCAGAGAGACCCCACCTAACAGAATTAGCCAAAGATACAGGATTATTTTGGAAGTGAGAAGCAGGAGGGCTGCCTGCGTGGGGCCCCTGTGCCATCTCCTGTCAGAGGTTCGACCTCACCAGATCTCGAGAGCTCAGTTCTTGCTGCACCCTGTCCTTCCAGACCAGTGATGGTGAACCTTTTAGAGCTTCCAATGATGAGAAACAGCTGGCTGGGGCATGTGCGTCATAGGTTCGCCACCAGTGTTCTAGATATTGGACCTCATATCGCCTTTCTAGAAAAGATCTATGTGTTTTCTTTTTGGGAATCAAACTCAGGGCCTTCTGCTTGCCAGGCAGGTGCTGTGCCACTGAGCTACATCCCCAGCTTTGTGTGTTTGCATTTAAAGGTATGTTTACAAGGTCTCAGCCTCTTCTTAGAGAAAAAGCCAATACCCAAAGTCATGATCTGCATGCATTCCCCATGGTCTGCGCCATGATGTAATTTTCAGTACCCTTTAGCTCTGACTGGGTGGGCTCAGGTACCACAGGCAAAAGCCCATTCTCCTGTAGTCTGTGCTTGTGCGAGTCAAGCAGCTGATTCAGATCCAAGCACATGGCTTTCCTCTGGCAAGCTTTCTAATTTTTGTAACTTCTGAACATCACCATCATGGACTCGGGTGTAACTCCAACTCAGATGGTCCCAGTGACTCATTTTTTGAAATTATTCTTTATTTCTTTTTTTGTGGTAAAATACACAAAACACAAATTTCATCATTTTAACTATCTTTTAAGTGTACAGTTTAGTTGTTAAATACATGTGTAATGTACAGCCACCACCACCACGCATCTCCAGAACGCTTTCCATCTTGTGAAACTGTGATACAGTGACGCCCCATTCACCCTTCCCCTTAGTCCCTGCCAACCACCATTTTATTTCCTGTCTCCACAATTTTGACAACCCAGCTGTCTTGTGTAAAAGGACTCTTACAGTATTTTTTTTTTAAACGCAATTGGCTTATGTCACATAATCACTTAATATAATGATATTATGTCGCCAGGGTCCATGAATGTTGTAGCATATTTCAGAATTTCCTTTTCATGACTAAGATTCCATATATTTTTTCCCCTAAATTTTGCTTATTCATCCTTCTGCCAGTGGACACTTGGGAAGCTACTATGTTTCAGCTATTGTGAAGAATACTACTATGAGCATGAGTATACAAATCTCTCTTTGAGACTCTGCTTTCAATTCTTTTCTTTTTTTTTTTTTTTGGTACCAGGGATCGAACTTGGATCCTTGTGCTTGCGAGGCAGGCGGCAGAACCACTGAGCTAAATCCCCAGCCCTGTATTCAATTCTTTTGAGAATATTCTCAGAAGTGGAACTGCTGCATTACATAGTATTTCTAGTTTAGTTTTTAAGGAATCGTCACTGTTTTTTACAGTGGCTGTACCATTTTATGTTTCTACCAACAGGACACAAATCTTTCTGCATTCTTGCCCACTCTGCCATTTCGTTTTTTTGGTAGAGGCCATTATTGGTGTGAGGAGTTATCTCATAGTTTTGATTTGTGTTTCCCTAATGATAGTGATGTTGGGCATCTTTTCATGTGCTTGTTAATCACTTGTGTATCTTCTTTAAAGAAATAGGAATTCAGGTCCTTTGCAATCACTGCTGTCTCTTTGGTGCTTGGCCCCTTCTGTCTTCACCCTTCTAATATCCTTGATGGTCTACAACATGTTCTGTTCCCAGCTGTAGTTCTCTGAAACAGAAGCAACTACTCTACCTTTAGCCCTGGTTTTGGTTTTTGTTTTCATGTAAAAAAAAAATGATTAGAAATCAAAACATGTGGTTCTCTTAAATGGCATGGTGAATTAATATTTGATCAACTTCTTTGTGTTTTATTTGTTTTTTTTTTTTTGTAACGGGGATCGAACTCGGGTCCTTCGATTTGCGCTGGGGCAGCAGGCAGTGAAACCAGAGCTAAATCCCCGGCCCTTGATCAACTTCTTTGGTCCAAATACAATAAAGATACACAAAATAGAAAAAGGAAAAGGAGAAAAACACGAAAAAGGCTGGTTCAAAAACAAGATAAAGGAGCCTGTAGGTGAGGAACAGAACCGAAGTGTGAAACACTGAGCAACACTGAGCCTGCCTGGCAGTGGGGGGGTCACTGCTGTGGGGTGAGGGGTCTGAGTGAGCTCCAGGATAGACCAGAGCTCGGGCTGCTCACCGCACCCTCCCATGGGGAGGTCAGGCTGTAAGACCACTGTCCTTACCAAAGGCTCCGAGGAGCTGACTATAGTGAAGCACACCCAGGGATCCCAGCGGTGCCTCCAGAATGTAAGACCAAGGCCTTACCAAATGCTCCAAGGAGCTGAAGTGGAGCACACCCGGGGATCCCAGTGGTGTCTCCAGAATGTAAGACCAAGGCCTTACCAAATGCTCCAAGGAGCTGAAGTGGAGCACACCCGGGGATCCCAGCGGTTCCTCCAGAATGTAAGACCAAAGGCCTTACCAAATGCTCCAAGGAGCTGACTGCAGTGAAGAACACCCAGGAAGGAACACACCTGACAAGTTGGAAAGTGAAACAGACCTTAGTCTGGCCAGACGGCACTCCCAAAACAGAGTAGCTTAGGGAGGCGTAGTCCAGAGTCCAGGCTCTTTTTATAGGGGCTTGCAGGGGAGTTAACAGGTGAAATTTACAGAAGAAGGAACAAAGGTTTAGTGGTCTTACATTTGTATGTTAATTAGCCTGACATGTACTGTTAGTCAGCAGATGCTTTGTAGATTGGTCTATAGATAGTGGTGTCCGGAACAAAGGGTTGGATAATTATGACTGATAGGGATCTTA